TAGCTAACATAGATATATTTTTACAGTGGCTAAACCTGTGTGTGTGTGTGTGTGTGTGTGTGTGTGTGTGTGTGTGTGTGTGTGTGTGTGTGTGTGTGTGTAAAAGAGTTTTTAAATGATTTAAGAGTTTCAAACTGGGCAGATCTTATGTGAAAACAGGTTGTTCCAAAGATTAGAGGGCCCTGCTGAAAAGGCTCTGTTACTTCTGCTTTCAAGCCTGGATCTAGGAAGATATCAAGAGCATTTGGCTCATAGATCTCTGGTATGTGGATTTTCAAAAGATCTATAATAGAAGGTGGTGCTAATCCATCGAAAGTCTTAAAAACAAGAAATAGACTTTTTAAATGGATCCTGAAATGGACTGAAACCCAGTGTAAGGAGGCAAATAATCACCTCACTGCTAAGTTGCTTCTCCTTTATGAAGTTTCAATCTTTTTACTTTTGTGCAGTTGCATAAAGAAGAGAGCATTTACAGAAGTTTGATGGACCATCTATTTTATTTCGGGGACTCAAAAACAACACAGGGCAGAATGTGTGATGAATTTATTTGTACTTGCTAAAATTAGAACAAGTTTCACAGAGAAGTGACTGCATTGCACCTGCAGAGTGGCAAACATGAACATTTGATTTCTTATCCGATGCTACAGCTCTCTGTCTTTTTCACAGTGCTCCGGGGATTTACGATAGACATCGTAAATAGGCCACACTAACCAAGGCGGTTGGTCTTCAGCTTAGCTTGTGGCTTTGCTTCTCAACTCACATGTAGCTTCAGCCAAATGGCTTTCAGACATGTCAGGTGTGAGAACAACTTGTTTTTTAAAAAAGACAGCCTAGAAGGATTTACACTTCACTAAATGAATGTGATTTAAACCAGTGTTAGATTGTTCATTTCATGTATTCACAAGAGATCTTTCTCCTTTCTTGTGCAAGTTACACTGAATCCATCTAAAAACAGTTTGGCTTTAATATGTTTCTTTAGATTTTCAATCTTGTATTCAGTAGCTATCACTATCACTAGAAGTAAACCAGCTATGATGTGGACAAAGTGTGCAGGAGCAGGGTTACATTTACATCAGTGGTCTTAGATTTTCGAAGAAATTTCACAGAGATCAATATAATTGTTTGCATTGTGGAACGTTATGCTGCACTATGGCATCTAATTTTTTTAAGTGCAAACAGTGATGCAGGGGAAACAAACAAACAAACCAAACATTTCCAGTGCTGCAAACATCACAATGTTGCACTATTAAAGCTGGGTACACTTTACAAGCAGGCCTCTTTTCAAGTCATAAGCACACCTGGGTTTAGCCAAAGCCACAGGACTTATTCACACAGGAAGGGGAGATAAACTCAAGATTCAAAGGGTGCTATATCTAACCCAAATAACTATCTTAGCTGCAAATCCAAAAATGTAACTTTGCGAACTTTGCAGCTTTGTCACTGGATAATTTATCATAGAGAGAAACTATGATGTGAATGAGATAACTGGTATTTATTTTACTTTTCTGTTGTAATTGGGACATTGCATTACATTGCAATGTTTCACTTGTAGAGACTTCTGACAGCACTGTAAGCTTTGGCAAGACTATATATTGACACTAACTACAGCAAGTTTAAGAAATTAATCATCTCATAATGATCAAGTACCTCAGCGGAAAGAAATAATGATCAGTGTCCATGAACTGATCTTTACAGGTCCTCTTAAAAAAATATAATTACACAGTTTTAAGTGATTTCTTTTAAAGTGATGTTTCCAATCCTTTTTCTGAGTAAATATGACAAATACTTTTCTGATAACAGTGTTGCACATGCATTAATATTATTAGGAGTTTACATTTTTATGTTAAGGATGAAAAGCTGCGAATTACCTGTATTTATGTCCTTGTCATGTGCAGGGTGATCATGTATTTCTGTAGTTAACACATAACTCAAAAGTGATTTAATGAAATTCGGCACACACCCTTACAGATACGCACTGTTTGAGGTGTCAGTGTAACAACATTTGTACTAATTTGACACACATTTAACTATTTTATGGAACATTACAAAGTGTAACACATGGTGTGAGTTTAACGTTCCTTCCAGAGAATTCATCTCCCTGTCACTGTCGGCCTTTCCCTCTTTGCATTCATAATTTGAATTTTATTCACGATACACATTAAAACACATAAAGTAAATAAATAAATACAACATTTTTTAAATATAGGCAAAGAATAACTTGTAGTTTGCGCAATGCTTCTGTGCACAGAGACTGCTATTAGAGAGTAAACTGTTACAAAAAATTCTCACTTTATGATGTGAGATAAGTTGATATGTAATTTAACAACCACAGAAGATGGAATTGAGAAAGAAATGAAAATCAAAGAAACAGTGAATCTGACAGCACGGAACAGCTGCGTCTGTGTCGTGTGTATCTGTCATGTGTCATGCGCTGACACATTTTGCTACTATCATGTGGTGTTTAACTAGTAGGGACCCGTTTCTTAACTTTTGCGGGTTTGTTCTCCTTTCAGCCATACAGAAGAGTCTAATAGTTGATAATTTTACTGATTCCTATCAAAAGGCAGCTTTTTCCACCTGTTCTCACCAAGTGCTTTTTCACTCTGGGTTTTCTTTCTTAATATTGACTAACAGGGACCTTTAATGAAGTTTCCCGACATAATTGTGTGAATTGAAATAAAAAATTCTAATTGAATGAAGCTAACTTTTATTTTGGTGAAGGAAACTGTTGTAACGACTGCCTTGCTAGTACGTGGTGGGGTCTGACTTTATCTTAGGAACTGCCTTAATTCTTGATGACATGTTCAACATTCGTCATAAATTTTGGAAAGCCTTGGCGTGATAGCATCACAGAGTTGCTGCACGTTTGTCAGCTGCACATCCATAATGTGAATTTTCTGTTTCACCGCAGTTCCCAAAGATGCGCTATTGCACTGAGAGCTGGTAACTGTAGGCTATTTGAGTGCAGACAACTCACTGTCGCGTTCAAGAAACACATAAAGCGATGGACAGATGTGGCGTTTAAATGATGCTCAGTGCTTCACACCATTACATCATTAAAAGTAGTCAGTGAGTTTGGCTTACAGCTATTTACTGGTGGTTTTAGTGTAAACTTTTACTTGTGGGCAAGTGAGGTTTGATCACATGGTCATAACATGATCTATTGTGCAATTCCATGTGGCCTCTTTCTTTTTGTTTGTGCGTTGGTCTTTGCTGCGTTCATGTCAAAAGATAGATTTTAGGGATGGGATAGATTTGTATGCGTATTAATTGCAAGTGGAAAACTCATCAAAAATGCTCCTTCATTAAAGATTGTGATTAATGACACACCCAAGACATTGACTGAGTAAGCTCCAGGGCGACATAACCTAAACTCATAGTTCACTAGGTTTGTACTATAAATATAATCAGCTATTAAAATTGTGCTCCAAGTGTTGTAACAGGTTAGTGGTATTACCTTTGTGGCATTGCTGTCCTGCTTTGTTCATAAATAAATAAATGGTGGAATTACCTTCGATAGCAGAAACCATTTTTTGTTGTCTTCCTTTTGTTTGTTTTCTTTACTAAAGCCAAAAATGTTTCCAAACAGTGGCAATTTTTTTTCCTTTGGGACAAACCCCTCAAGTTGTGCATTCAGCTTAGTGTGTGAGTCTTCCTTCACAGAATAACCCGGCAACTGGCCATTCGTCCTTAATATTTGTTATATAAGAAATGCATGGGCTCAGTGTTTTCTTAAAAGCTACATTTTGCCCCTTTATGTTGCTATGGGAACACATCCATACATAATTTAGTAAAAGAAGGCTAGTTATTTAATTGTATGTTTTTGTGACAGCTCCTCTGTCTTGGTTGAAGTACACAGTGTTGCTTGCGATTAGACCCTGATACATCTTGTTTCCACGCTGGAACATTTGGATAAAAGTAATTAATTATGTGAAGCACCCATATTTGTTTCGATTTGGCTTGTTAACCCTGCAAGCTGGTATTGTTATTAAGCAGGAAATCTATCAGAGCTTTAAATCTGACTTTCATATGATAATTAAAGCTTAAATTGAAAGCTTAACTCAGTGAATCCGATTTAATTCTGAAACTGGGAATCACAATAAGTGTCATTTATTTGCATTATTAAACATGTATA